AACTCTTATAAGCCCCTGTTTACACTATACCAGATTCGCTGGTCACTACATCTTCTTTTACCGTTATGGAGCAATGGCTAGTAGCAAATGCTTATTAGTTTGACAGAATTGGCATGTTTATTTGGGGCTCTGAGATTAAAAATCTTCGCAGCCTTTCGATACCTACAAAATTTGACCCACTCCGATAGCAATCCGGTATAGTGTAAATGGAGCCTAATAAAAACGAAACCTCACTCGCACATAACAATCTATATCCCACACGTAGCCGATGTTACGCTTAAAAATATAAAAACAGTTTAATGTGTACCTGTCGTCCTGAATTTCCTCACGTTGACTTGCTTGGCTGATTTAATAGTGAAATACTCCTCTGGTCTTTGGCGTTTTGAGGGGGCGTGATCACTGGCGTGCCTTCGCTTGCTCCCTTCACCTATTTGGTTTTGTGGCGGTTCTGGCATCTGTTCGAGTTCGCATAAACCATCATCATTGGCCCAGTCTTCGTTGAACAGGCGACGTTGATCCTCGGTCCAGTTTGCCATCATATCAGGGTCAACTCCAACCGGATTCTCTCGTTCAATATCTTCGGCCATCGCGTTCGTCCAAAATATAATGCGCTGTTGAAGAATAGCTTCTTTCTGCTCATCAGTAAGCACAAACGACTCTTGGAGAAAGTCGAGTTCACTTTCAGCTTCACAAGCTTTGATAAGATCCAACATATTAATCTAGAAATATCATAAACATATTAATCTAAAACTATTGTAAACATATATTCAAAAACAAATTTTATCCAGCCTATGACTCTGAAACTATCGTAAACATATATTCAAAACAAATACACAAACTTACCGAATGAGCCATTTTAAAAGACAATCCAACGCAATCCACCAGACAACACTTGAGAATCAGACAACACTTGAGAAAACCAGAGACCACTCGCCAAAATGCAACAGTGAGAAATGAAACGTGTGTTTGATACACGATATTTATAATCTCTGATAATATGTTTGGTCGCGCTACTGTGTTGTGCCGCTAATTGGTCTCGTTACTGCATTGTAATGCTAATTGACCACGTCTGGCCCAGACCTGCCCGCGTTAATTGGTCGCGCTACCTGTCACAGGGTTAGGGTTAGGGCCTGCAAAGTTACGTCATAAATTTTGCATACTAATTACTTTCGGAGCAGCGTGACGTCATTGGCGGCATCCCTTTGAACTCCAGAGTGGGGGTATTACTACTGGTGATTGACTGTGCTTTATTATTCTATCAGCACAACAAATAGTCGTCGAATACTGAGTTGCGAATAGTGTTGTGTGTAAATTTAAATGAAACGGGGAGTGCCAGGCACGGCCATGGTCTTCGAGTACGGTTTGCGTCGTTGCCTTTCTCCATTTTACTCAACTATATACTATACATACCTAGTTATTTAGTCAAATAATATTAAACTCTCCCTATATTTTTCTAATTTTCTTATACGCCAGTTTTGGAAGATGCATGAATAGAGCAGAATTTAAAAAACTCCTTCTCTACTAGTACTCTTCTCACTGTTTTAAACGACCTGATTGAAGTCCATTTGTGCACATTATACTACACGAATTTGTCATTATAATTATAGGTTTATGGGTGCCAGTTAATAGGTGTTGATATGCCGATTCCCGTCAAACTAAGTTGAGTAATTAATACCTCATTTGCCGTCTGCCCGCGTATATATGCATTATGCATGCAGAACCTTAAAACGCCATTGGTTTTATATTTTTGGTTTGTCCATGTCGCAAACTACTGGACTTTCTACAAATGCCGTGCCAAAATGCGGCTATATGCATAAACTATGTTGGAAATGTCATGTTATCTCGTTGCTGGTAATGTATTAGTAGAATAGTAGTATTACGAAGAGTTGGGTTTCTGGAGTAACTGTTAAAATGCATTACCTTCGGTGCATGAAAGGCGCGTCGTCTAAACTTATATCGAATCTTTGCCAGATAATGTGGCATGATTTAGCGAAATTTGTGCCGTGTCGCATGTAGTTACCTTGCAAGAATTTAATTGAGTTACACAGCAAAAAATCGTTTTCTTATTTCAAGAAAAAAAAACTTGTTTCAAGAAATATTTTCTTAAAACAAGAATTTTTTTACTAGGGAGAATAGCGAGAAATATTTTCTAACTGAGAAAATATTTCTTAAAATATTTCTTAAAATAAGAAAACACATTTTCTTGTTTTAAGAAAAATATATCTCATTTCAAGAAAATAATGAAACATTTTTCTAGTGCACTTTTTCTTAAAATAAGAAATTTTTTTAGAACTAGAAAATTTTTTCTTAAATTAAGAAAACTTTTCTTAAATAATAAGAAATTAAATCTTAAATTAAGAAAATATAACTTGTTTTAAGAAAATATTTCTCAAAACAAGAAAATTTTTACTAGGGAGAATAGCGAGAAAAAATTTCTAATTAAGAAAATATTTCTAGATGAATCATTTTCTTGTTTTAAGATAATTTATCTTATTTTAAGATTAACTTTCTTAAAACTAGATACTTTTGACTAGATAAAAAAAATAAGATAAATTTACACCTAACATTCTCAGTTTAAGAAAAAAACTCTCATTCTAAGAAAATAACTTGTATATTTACTGAAATTATAGTAGTTCTGATAGCACAGCAATGTGTTGTAGTGAATTGAGTTTCTCCCAGGGTTTTTTCCAGGATTTTCTCTTGGGTCCATTTTTGCAGAGAAGATTCAGTTTAGCTGAACAGTTGCGGTGACTGCACCGGCCCCCCGCCTACCGGTGGGCTGACACCTGCACTCAATAAATGTAATTGAGACGGAATGTGTTAAAACAGGGACACTATAAACTGGTTAAAGATGGCTTGTCAAGCTTCCAACTGAAAACTAATTTCCACACGTCACAACGTTTTATAACTCAAACAACTTCATTTTTACTGCACTGAAACTTTGGTGAGAAGATTGAGTTTCAAAACTCAATTCAAGATTGAGTTTTTGGGGCCGTTTAAAGGGCCCAAAAAATCCCTGAAAAAACCCTGGTTTCTCCTGAAGTCAATATATTTTGTTTAACATTTTGTCCATTTCACAATCAATATTATCTATACCATTGTTCATTCACCAAATCCATTGATTTCCTCATGCACATTTAATTAATACTGTTCCAAATACAGCATGCAATTGCCATCAAAGATCCATCATCTTAGAATCTGTAAAAAGACTTATCATTAACCTACAGTGTAAAAGGGACTACTAACTGTGGATGTAATAAACAGCCTTTATTTAACCAATAACAAAGCCAGTTCATATTTGTATGTACAAGGTGATGCAGCTAGGTATGACAAATATACATATGTTAACCAGAAACAGGCTTTCTCCAGACCTGTACCCAGTAGACCAGGGGTTTTTTCAGGGAATTTTTAGGGTCGTTAAACGGGCCCAAAAATTCAATCTTGAATTGAGTTTTGAAACTCAATCTTCTCACAAAAGTTTCAGTACAGTAAAAATGAAGATGTTTGAGTTATAAAATTTTGTGACGTGTGGAAATTAGTTTTCAGTTGGAAACCTGACAATTAAAAAAGAATGGTTGGAATTCATCTTGCAACACAAGAAAAACTATGCATTTGCCATCTTTAACCAGTTTATACCAGTTTCCATCTCAGTTCTACATTTATTGAGCATAGGTGTCAGACTCCTGCGGTAGGGGGGGGGGGTGCAGCCATCCCAGCTGTTCAGCTAAACTCAATCTTCTCTGCAAAAATGGACCCAAGAGAAAATCCGGAAAAAACCCTGTAGACTGCTATCTGGTGCCATTAGGTATCTGGGCACCACCCGCTACCATCTGGTATTAGGCAAACCACCATCTGGCGCAACTTCTTCTGGCAAAGACCTTGGACGCATGTTATTTTAAAAAGTAATAACCAATAATCACTATTAATCAGCCATCTTAGTTTCACCAGACACTAAATTTTGTTGGATCATACTTTATTATTTTACTCTGTCTAACACCAGATAACTTTACTTGTCAAGGGGAAAGCAGTCGTGCTCAAAGGCTTAATCAGACTATCTGCCCATGTGTCAAATTAACCATTTAGTTGCATTGTGCACTACTGTCTAATAATTATTAGTTAGCCAAGTAGATTATGTCAATTAATTCATGCGACAGTTCCAGTTTAAAGGGGAATATATCTTGTGGACTAAATATGATACTCAACTGACTGTCTTCTCTTAAATAACTTTAATTCATTATACAGTTAGCATCACTGTAGTGCAGTAACATTACATTAACCCTTTAAGTGCCAATGCACCAAGATGCGCCCTACTTTATTATTTTACTTTGTCTATGCCAGACGATTTAACTCGTCAGGGACTCAGGGGAAGAGTGCTGCCACTAATTGGGTTAATACATCAGGACCCTGGACATGTACAATTGTTTGGTATTGAAATAGCAAGATTAATCTAGTAGGGCGTAAAAAAATACCTGTGGTTCCAGTTTCATATCGCAAAAAAATTTGGGTTGGTAGGTCGGAAATAATTTTTTTTTAAATATTTTTTCATGGATTTTTCAATAATTAGTGTGACAACAGTGTCATTTGGCAGCAGCCCGCAACCATCCGGAGAAAATAGGGTCGCATAGTCAATCTCTTTTAAAAAAATTGGGTCTATCGGGAACCGGAATCACAGGTATTTTTTTACGCCTAGTATGGCACAGATAAAATTGGTACCTGTATCAAATTTATCCATGCTCGGCCGGTGTGAATAGGAGTTGTTAATATTTACTAAATTTTTGATGCAGTATCAAGAAATGTAATAATTCCTACAAACAAGGTCTTTACATGGGCTGTTTACAAGATCAAGGCTAATTCGTCTGGCTGGACAGACTTGCAAGCGCCAAGATGGTCTTGTACAACCACCTGGAGAAAATAGGGTCACACAGTCAATCGCGTTGAAAAAATAATAGGGTCGGCACAAAAAATAGGGTCGGTCGGGAACCGGAACCACAGACTTTTTTTTACGCCTTAAAACAAATATCGCTTTCCCACCATATATAAAATTGTTTGGGAATTTCTTATAGCAGTTGCCAGGCTAGCCCGCCTCATGTGAAACAAATAACAACTTGGCCCGGCCAAGTAAGCTAACTCAGTTCAACAGGCCAGCATGGCTCATATTGAACAGGTCCTGGGTGACTACCTTAGCTGGGCCAGTTTGTCATTTTCTTCATATAGAGCACTAAAATCAGACTATTTATTCTTGTTAATTCTTACCTTACAACACCAGTTTGTCAATTCAACTCAATCCAGAATTCCTTGATTGTTGAGAACAATATTTGGAGCCAGGCTATAGCCCAGCACCATTATTAACCTGAAAATACATAAAGCAAACATTTCAGGCATTGTGTCACAAACATGTTACACATTATAAACTGAAGTTCAAGACTCTCCGGCCCCTTGAAGAGTGAAATTGTCTGGCACTAGGCAAAGTAAAGCAACAGCAGAGATGCATTTGGGCACATTTGTAAGCCTTAATGGGTTATTAAGATCAAAACACTGAAGTATTACATTAAAATTACATTCAATGCTTTATAAATTCTTCTGTAATTCTAATCCTTATTCATGTATTAAAATGCTAACATATCTTTGAAGGCATTGGGACGTTTACAGTAATATATACAAGGCCAAGGGTCAAGTTGAGTGCATATAATTTATATGTCAAACAGCCAAAGGCAATATTTATTGCTATTAAATTGTTAACAATAATGCATAATTTAGTACAGAATTTGCTATAATGGATTCGAATTGATATTTTATTTGCCAGAAACCAACATTTCGTAGGTTTTTTATGCAAATTGAACGCGGCAAATTCAAAC